ATAAATACCCCATGTACCTCATCATTATGAGATGTCTTGAATTGAGTATTGAATTGGTGAGCCAATTTTGAGGGGGAACCTTGTGTTCTTAACGTGTGATAAAGAAGGCCATTAGTGCGTCTTTACATGCAGTGTCGGAGAGAAGGCCAATAGTGCGTCTTGAAGTCACGGTGTCTAGGAGAAGGCCGCAGTGCGTCTGCTAGATACATCTATCGGGGATAAACGAAGGCCTCAGTGCGTCGTTTATTTGCAACCCAGTATAGACAAAAGATCGATCCGTCATCACGCGCGCACCCCTCCCTCCTTCCTTTTGTGTGGTGGTGTTAATTAGGGCAAGTGACTTGTATGGTAAGTCACAAGCCCTAGCCCTATATAAGGGAGATGATCATCCCTCCCCTCACCCTCATTTTTCAGCCGCCACTCCCATCTCTCTACCTCACTCTCCCGATCTTTCTCTCGCCCTCTCCCCCCTCTCTCGTTATTTTTTAATCGGCCGCGCCCAGCCCTTCGCCACCACCCGGCTGCCGTGCCTCGTCAGGCCCATCGTCGCGCGTCCAGGCCGTAGGAGCACCTCCCCAGGCCTCAGTTCGCATCCCCCCGACGCCACCGAGACCCAGCAGTCGCGCCCGAGACACCCCCAGCGCCCGCGAAGCCGCCAACGCCCTCGCAAGCCCGCTTCCCCGCACGACCGTGATCTCCCTCGGCCCGTTTACCTCCCTCTCGTGCGATTTATCCCGAGAACGGTACAAGGCTATTATTTCTGATTATTTTAGTATATATATGCTTTGAGATGATGCCTTGTTGGGAGATCTCCTGTTATAATTTGCTAGATGATCGATTTTATTCGTAATTTAGATGTTTATGTCATTCGATGGTGATCCCTTGTTAAATCTTAATAATTGCTGTGGATCTATGGAACACTTGAAGGTTTTGGCCTGATGATGAAGGCCTTAAACGAAATTATTGATTGATTTAATTGTTGTGCATTTTTGAATCGTATTGTGTTGCTGGATCTTCGAAAAATCATTTAAATTTTTATACTCGTCCGATTGCTGCGAAATTTGACCTGTATAGCCCTCTGATGATGTTATAGGTCGTGTAAAAATTTCAAGTTAAAATAAGGTCTGTAGCTATGTTAATTGTCGATTTGAAAATATGACCAGAAACTTGGGAAAATCATTAAAACTCGAGTACTTGGTATTTCTCTGTGAATTTTGGTGAGGGTCAGTGATTTGATGAAATGTATGTTGTGTCCAAATTTCATTGAAAAATTCAAAGGATTGCTCGGTGAACTAGAAAGTTCAGATTTTAATCGTCTTTTTGTAAAAATCAGTTGATTGTGTTAAACTGAAGTATTGGATCTGAAAACCTTGTGATTATGTGCCTTTCTGAGTCTATTATGATATGTTAAAATTTTATTTAAATCGGTCGAATAAATTTTGAAAACGGTCCGTCCTATGTGAAACCCTACCTGTCTGCCGGGCCCCTGTG